GTTTGGACGATTAACGGATGACGACTTCGGAATAAAGTGGACGGACGCTGTAGTGGCCTATTTCAAGGCAATAATCTGGAACTGACCCAGAGAAACCAGTACATCCCCAGTCACAACAGTCTGAGGCCCAGATAAGATTGAAACCGGGAACCTTCCAAATACAATTCAGAAGCACTGCCGCTCAGGCCAGCTTGCTCCGAGCGAAGCACTCGTTTTGAAACATTTTAGTTAATCACAACAAGCAAGATGTCGCGCGTGTGGTTGTGTTGTAAAGGCAAGCAAAAATTTTATATTTCTTTACCTAAGAGAAATGTAACTGGTTTAACACACGAAGGCCGTCCAATAAATTTCTGGACTGTTTCTCCAAATATCGTTGGGATTACAGTGAAATGGCGATGCCTGACACACATCATACAGCTTGCATCCTGGATCTAATAGCGGAAACATCACTTCGTTTGGCGTGTAATTGTTTACTGTTATTCACGATAATGTAAGAGCGGTCTGAGGCATGAACTGTCTTCGCTCGCTCGGAAACCGGGACCGTGGATTCGGATCTGTTTCCTGTGAGGTACGAACTGAATTCTTATATATTATTCTTATACACTGCCGGTCACGGTAGCCGAGCGGTCTAAGGCATGTACTGTCTTCGCTCGCTCGGAAGCCGGGATCGTGGGTTCGGATCTGTTTCCTGTGAGGTACGAACTGAATTCTTATATATTATTCTTATACACTGCCGGTCACGGTAGCCGAGCGGTCTAAGGCATGAACTGTCTTCACTCGCTCGGAAACCGGGACCGTGGGTTCGAATCTTACTCAGGGCATGGATGTTTAGTGTTTGTGTATGCGCGTTTTTCTGTGTTTGTGTACAGGTAGAGGCCTTGCGACGAGCTGATCACCCATCCAAGGACTCCTACCATATGTCTAAGATCTAGTAAAACCGAAGTGAAACGGAGAGTTTCATGAAGGTAGGCCAAGGCCCAAATTGGGGCTGTAGCGCCACAGGAAAAAGAATGTAAGAGCAGACAGAATTACAGACGAACATTCTGTCATCAAGTTTCTCTTTCTTGAGTTCGGAAATTCGTCGACGAAATGTCTGCTGTGAGAAAGTAAACATTTGTATATTCAGATCTTCTGCTATCACTACGCTTCTGTTCTGCCATGCAGCCAGAGACAGTTCCTCCAAAATGTTGGTAGCAGCTACGGCTACATAACCCAGAAACTACTCCTCTCCATTCATGTGTTTCGATTACAAGTCCCGTAACTGACAACGGCAAACTGCTCCGCACACTGCGGTAACTTGCGCAAGTCTCCTGTTGCAGTCAAAGTTCCTGAAGAAACCGGCAGGGAAGCATTCTTGAGGCGCGTCCACATTACTCGTGCTCGTCGGGAGACTCGTCTGGCTTTTACTTGTGCTCGTAAATCTTCGTCCACACTACTTCAGTTGCTCGCCAGGCTTCGGCGCGTGAGGATCCGTATATTTACTCGTAGTGTGTATAGGCTGTAGTCGTATTTTAATTTATTGGCTATAGTCTTTAAATTAGAAATTTAAAATTTGCTTGTCTCGTGACTTTTCATATCGTCCACATTACTCGCGAGCATAGCGAGTTCCACGAGCACGAGTAATGTTGTCGCGCCTTAAGAGACTCGTTTCGTTATTACAGCTCTCTCATGAAGTAAAAGCTATCCCCGTAACAGACCGTGAAGGCCTGTGTAATGAGACGTCGAGGCTTCCACATTTTCTAGACCAGGCATGGAAAACTCAACTTGTACAGAGGGCCACCTTAGCCCTATAAATAATAGTCCAGGGCCGCACTTCAAAATAGAAATATACATTAGATTTTGATACAAGGAAATTTAATTCTATTTATTATTTAGGAATAATTTCAATATAATTACCTAAAGTCACATATCTTACAATTTTAAAAAGCAAGAGAATGCCATTTTTGACAAGTATCAAACAGCTTTTCAATAGGTAAAAAGAGAGATTACACAAGAAATTGTTAGAAAAAGCAACACGTTGAATTTCCTGCAGCCTGCTAATTTATGTCTGCCTGAGACTTCTTGTCTTCTGGTCTGTTGGAAAATTGTCTTTACAAAAAATATTTCTACTAAAATTTTAATATTTTAATATCAATTAGTTCTAAAAGTTGAGGGGCCGCATGTTTGACACGGCTGTTCTAGACAATCGGTTCACAGATGGCGGTAAGGTTGTCAGCCTTACGCAGCGGCCGTACTTTACCCCCGGAAAATTCCTGGTACTCATTTCTGTTAGAAGCTAAGTCTAAGCCAGGGCCATAGTGCAGCTAGATGGCTTAGGTAAATTAAAAAAAAAATCCACCTAATCGGGACTCGAAACAGCGACCTTCCGGCTTGTAGTATAGTGTATGAACCACTACGCATGCCCCCAGCCTCATGAAGTAATCTATACGTATTTTGTCGACAGCCGGGCTAACTGCGTCCTACACGTGACAGATAACATTCCTTCTCGGTTGAAATGATCGAAGCTCAGTTCGGATCAAATTCATGTGACCAGAAACCAAAGCGTGGAAGAGACTACATAGCGTTACGTTGTTGTTTTCCTCCGTTTTCGTTATCCGTAATGTCTGTTTATTAAACACTGGCCCACACTCAATTCTCTTCAGATGATAGTAGATTTCATGTGAGGTAGGTTTCTGTCTAAAGTTTAGTTTCATACAGACATTACTGTAATTCGGAAATATGACTCATTGTGAAGAAAGCAGTCTTCTGGGATGTGGCACTCTGCTTGTACCGGTTCTCACGGTCTCTTCGCTTGCGAATTTATTTTCCTTCTACCCTGAAGATGGAGGCGATACGTTCCTCTGAAACGTCGGTTAACACATCTACACGGTGACACATCCCAGAAGACGGCTTTCTTCATAGTCACCGCCGTGAAAACCTCAAATCTTACATGACTCATTGTGTTTTTATCTCATGGGATTATAGCGCCACAAGCAGTCGGTTATGCTTCTGATGGCTTGAGATAACCAGAAACTCCAGGTGCTTCACCCCTCTCGTTATAAATGGCTCCTGTCTCCACGCACACTCAATAAACAATCCGGTGTCATTAGGCCCACGCTGAGTCCATCTGTTCATGCAGTCTACCTTGCGGTTTTCCCCAGTAACTTCCTCCAACGTAATCTTGTATAAAGTTTACGATTGAATATTTGTGGGGTGCGACTAAGTCGCTTATACTGCGGCCACGTCTGGCCTATTGTAGCAGCTCCAGATGATAGGTGAGGGTGATTGTGGAGCAATTGGTGGAATGAAGCTTGGCAGGGGAAACCGAAGTACTCGGAGAAAACCCACCCCAGCGCCACTTTGTCCACGACAAATCCCACTTGATCAGACCCGGGATCGAACCCGGGCCGTCGCGGTGGGAAACCAGCGACTAACCGCTTGAGCTATGGCGCGGCCTCCAGCGATATGTAACTTTCATATTTTATACAGCATCGTTAAAATACCACTGACATATTACCCATTCACCCTTCTTCCCATCTGTCACACAGAGAGATCAGTAATACTGTTTTGTGATGACAAAGATTGACTTACAGTGCCACCATTCAAGCGAGTTACAGAGAACAGGTCTGTCGCTTTTATACGCATGCGTCTTTCATCTTACATCCAGAGAACAGTGGATTCTTGCTTTCATAAAGACAGCCGAAGGGACAACATCATCCGAAGTATTATTTTTTCACCTCTCAATAGCAGCAAAGAGTGAACACGCGCTGGTTACAAGTAGTACTAATTCTGCCAGCAGGTGGCTCTGCCAACGCTTCTCTCCAAAGTCAGTTGTTGTCATTTCCACGAAAAAATGTTTCTTAGAATACCGTCTTGAAACCTGTATTCTGCATCCTTCCAGTGTTGGATTTTATGACTATTGTGAAATACGGGCCGTTTCTATAACAGAGGAATGTCCGTAAACGTTCTAACAGCAACGAATACATGGAATAGAAGAACTGCCGTTTCTATGCGACGGTCGGTAAACACCCCCTTAAGAACGTGAAAACAATATACGGGAAAGTGTGTTTTCTGTCGTCCGCGTCAAGCAAATGCATGGAACAATAGGACGTCTATTGCCAATCAAGGAATCTGTATATATGCATCATTAACAAAATGTGTTTTCTGTGAGGTATGTGCAGAGGAGTTATCTTGAAGATAATCGGCGCTACGAGTCAGTCAGTTCTGGTAGGAGACACCCACGGGAATTTCGTTGCTGAAGAACTAGAAGTTGGCCTGTAAAGACTTTATGCGTGCTGTAGTACACTGATATCTGGAGTGTGACAGTTAAATTCCTGTGTTAAAATCCGTTGACAGAAAACGGATAGCGTAAACTTTGCAGGGGAATAGCCTAGACCTTTTACCTAGCATCGACTACTGTAAGCAGATAAAGAATACTTTATTTTGAAGTAAAGTATGTAAAAGCTATCCCTGTAACAGGCCGTGGAGGCCCATAGGGTTGTGAGATGTTGAGGTTCCCACATTTTCTAGACAATTGGCTCACAGATTGCGGTAAGGTTGTCAGAAGGTTTTTTTTTTGTTGCTATTGGGGTGAGACTAAGTCCCTTGTACTGCGGCCACTTCTGGTCCATTGTACCAGCCCCAGATGATATGTGAAGGTGATTGTGGAGCAATTGGTGGAATGAAGATTGGCAGGGGAAACCGAAGTATTCGGAGAAAACCCGCCCCAGCACCACTTTGTCCACCACAAATCCCACTTGACCAGACCTGGGTTTGAACCCGGGCCGCCGCGGTGGGAATCCAGCGTCTAACAACTTGTAGCATAGTGGCTCAACCAACTACGCTATCGCGTACGCCCAAGGGGGATGGTGAGGGGGAAATAACTGTAAATAAAGAAGTGTTGAAAATGTATGTTCTCATGTGGCTCCCAGAGGNACTGTAAATAAAGAAGTGTTGAAAATGTATGTTCTCATGTGGCTCCCAGAGGTTCCTTAAAGATGTGGACTGAGAGTTGCACTTACATGGGCACGGCCGTGGGTTCCTCGAAGTGCAGGCTGCCAAGGAGAGGCCTGAGCGGTGAAATGAGCTTTGGCCCAAGATCCCCCTTCGAACGGACTCTCGCCCAAATGACCCTGTGAAGCAACAACACACGTAATAATTAACATTTGGAAACTCATGTCACATCAAGCTGTAAAATCTACAGGGTTCCGCAGGACACACGTGCAATTCCAAACAATACGATTAACGCTGTTCAAAGAATTCTATCTTGTGACGACGGTATGTTAGTATTATGTTTCTGACCTAGCTACAGATCTAGAGAACCCAGGTTCGATTCCCAGCGCTACCAGATTTTCTGAGAAGTAGTGGGTCTGGAACGGGGTCCACTCAGCCTCGTGAAGATAACTGAGGAGCTGTTTCAAGGAAATAGTGGCTCAGGTCTAGAAACCCTAAATTAACAGCCGTGGGGATCTGTTGCGCTGACCACGCGACATCCTCTATCCGCAGAAGTTGGCACTAACTTCGTTGACAAGCGGCGGTCGCTCGATCGGTATAGTTCGCTTGCGGACTAAAGGCCACGGAGATTGTTTTTCTGTTTTTATGTAAAAACACACACCGACTGAGTAGGTTTTATGTGTAATACTTGGGAGTTACTTGAAGAGCTAGTTTCTGTGTGGGGATCCGTTGCTAGGAGACGACTAGTGGAAGAGAATCCTAGAGCGTGTGCAACAGTGAACTGGAAAGTGTGTAATTCGGCGATAGCGCTGTTTTGCATGTAAGTGTAACTAAAGAGAGAGTGTGTAACCAAGCCGTTAAGAAATCTAATCATCCGAACTATAACCCGTCATTTCGTCACGCGTACCCCCTTACACGTGACCATATAATTTACCTAACGGTAATCTCATCGCGTTACAGAATAAATAATATAATGTTAAATGATAAGATAATTCGACTATAATAAATTCACAAAAATGTAAAAGGAACGGGGCATGGCCTAACTTGAAGTGAACACTACCATCTTCTGGGATTTAAAGCCGTATACTTCGTTATTCTTTTACCCTGAAGATGGAGGCGACATGCTTCTTCGTAACATCGGTTGACTTCCAATAGATTATACAGTGTTATATCTTACATAATTAGAAATTATCATCTAAAATGTGACTGGAGAAATTGAGGAAAACTACGAAAGACCTCATTCAGTACAGCCGGTGTCTCTGTCGGTATTAAAATTGCGAACCTTTCGTATGGATGAAGTATTACTATTGGAGTCACCGTGCTCTATACACTAAGAAGAGAAACTTGAAGATCGAACTTTATATACAAATGTACTTGCATAAATCTGGAATTATGGAGTTCAATCCAAAATATAAAGTCTCTCAAACCTTTACACTACGCCCACTTATATCTAATGTACCCTATTTTCGTAATAAAGTACCTACGCCCATGCCATGGAAGTATAAATAACAAATCTTGTGTGGAGTTAATATGATTATCAAAATTTAAATAAAGTTGGTTTTATTTCGCCCCCTTTTCACTCTTGGCTTTCTGCTTAACACGTCAATCCACTGCTACTTTATCGCCTTTAACCACATTAACCTAAATAACAACAGTCAGAGAGTTTATCTGTGGAAATGGTTTTTTATTGTAGAAAAAATACTGTAAATATAAAAAAGGCCTAGGCAATACCCATCCGGTCTTCTGTGCAAATAAAGAGAGCTAATACATACACCGCCCTCTGTCTGCCGATGATTGCTTCGGTGCCTCAGTCGACAGAAACAGAGTTCTGTGTTTATCCGACAAAATCGATGCTAAGTGTAACTTACTGCTTGTTTATTGTGACGAATCCATTAATTCATTCTTCAGTCCTTTCATGCCCTAACAAAAGACGAGCTACGTGAAAAAAATATATCTTAAAGATGGGGGAGAGACGAAAGTGAATAGAATGTTTAAATATCGGGAGCGGGCATAAAAGAAATGCAGTTCTGACGTATAGTTCTCATTTTAGGAATGTCTTTAACATATGGCATAGGAAGAATGTAAGCTATCGTAAATTTAATAGCTTCTCGTTCACGCCTTGATAACTGAAGAGCTATTTCAAGGAAATAGCGGCTCTGATCTAGAAAACCGAAATTAACGGCGGTGGGGATCCGTTGCGCTAATCACGCGACGCCCTCTAGCCGCAAAAGTTGACACTAACTTCGCCGACAAGCGGCGGTCGCTGGGTCGGTATAGCTCGCTTGCGGACTAGAAGCCACGTTGCTTTTTTTGTCTTTTCGTTCATTCCTTAGTAATTCAGTGCCCAATAGGCATGTCTTGTATGTGCATTTTTCTAGACTTCGTGGTGTACGTTTCTCTTCAAATATTGCGAAGGACTTTATAAAGTGAGTGGACTAAATATTGCAGACAGGAGTATTATACTGTAGCACGTAGACCCATGACTCTATAAGAGACGCCGCTATTAGGCAACGACCGCGGAACAAGCAAATATATGGCAGCTTTTGCTCTATAATGGCTACGAAAACAAACATGTTCCAAAGACAAAAACTGAACTGCAACAAAAAAACGGTGTTTTCTATTCGGTTCGTGCCACTCTTTTCCTGGGGGATATAAATACGGGGAACTGGTCCCCCGATTTGGGGAGTCTCGAATCTGAGACAGTAAAATGTGGAAATGAATCCCGAGGGGCTCAGACCTGAGTATAACTGCGCTGCCGAAGGCCAGCAGTAATTGTAAACGAGAGACCAATCTTCTCGTCAGAGAGGATGTTACATAAAGAGTATGAAAGCAAGTATTCAGTTCATAAAAATTGCTGGTCGTGAGTCTTAAAGGGATTGTCGCCAAGACGATCTGATTGGCTGTAAACCGCCAGTCGTAAAGTAACTCTGACTCTGACAATAAGTCAGTTGTGGTATATTCGCCAGCCAGTAAGGAACTAAGCAGAGGGCATTGCTAGAATCCGTTACCAGGAAACGGCTAGTGAAAACAGACTAAGAAGACTTATTAGGTGTTATACTAAGAAGATGAATGCATGAATTAGCGAGAGCATTATCATTATTTGTAGTTACTGTCTCTGAGTGGTCAATAAACCCAAAGATCAATCGAAACTCTCTATATAGCCGCTTAGACACGTGATACTATCACTATTTCCTGTAGCGGATAAGAAAACGTACGTTCTCACGTTCGGATAGTCATGGAAAGAAAATCATCTTCCATCTCAGACTCATATAAATATAAATTGTAAATAACAACTTAGTACCATACTCAGAATAAGTATTTTCAAAATGACAATGCATATTTTCATAAGAACAACCGCCATAACGGATTTATAGCACTCAACCCAATGTGTTTCTTCTGTTTTCAGAAAAGAGACTTGATGTAGGTTATCAAATACAAAACGGTAAGACGAGATATCGATTAATGACGTGAGGATTTAATGGAAAATTGATAATTTATCATCTAAGGACAGAAACCCTGTATTTACAAACTGCCACGCCATAAGATGCCAACGTTCACTATGCCTTCTACTGACACTGTCAGAATCGGACTTGACTTTGCACAGTCTGCATCTCAAACACGATACAGTCAAAACTTTCGGGTCACATAGAGACAACAGAGAGGAAGGAATCTTCATATTGTGTTTGGTTAATTATCACTACAGCCTCAATTTGGGCCTTGACCTACCTCCATGAAACTCTGTTTCACTTCGGTTTACTTGATCTTAGACATTCGGTAGGACTCCTTGCGCGGGTGATCAGCTCGTCGCAAGGCCCCTGTCTGTACACAAGCACTAAACATCCATACCATAAGTGGGATTCGAACTCACGATCCCGGCTTCCGAGCGAGCGAAGACAGTACATGCCTTAGACCGCTCGGCTACCGTGACCGGCAGTGTATAAGAATAATATATAAGAATTCAGTTCGTACCTCACAGGAAACAGATCCGAACCCACGATCCCGGCTTCCGAGCGAGCGAAGACAGTACATGCCTTAGACCGCTCGGCTACCGTGACCGGCAGTGTATAAGAATAATATATAAGAATTCAGTTCGTACCTCACAGGAAACAGATCCGAACCCACGATCCCGGCTTCCGAGCGAGCGAAGACGGTTCATGCATTAGACCGCTCGGCTACTGTGACCGGCATCGCTATACTTGTATTACATAGGCCTATTTGTCTCCAACAGCCGGTCACAGGAGCCGCGTGGTCTAAGCCTGCTTTCAGATGCGCGTGTACAGTGCTGCCTGGAAGATGATGCGGCTGCTGCCGAACTATCAATGCTATCTCTGGCATTTTGAAATTCATGATAATTAAAGCCTGTACTCATCAAAAGTTTTTCTATACGTATTTTTCGTTACTTTTCTAATTGATTTAGGGAAGTTTTAATTTTTATCTGTAGGAAAGTATGGTGCGCCCCCCTCTCAAGCCCTTCGCGCCCACTCCCTGGGGGTCGCGCCCCACAGTTTGATAACCACTGGTCTAAGGCATGAACTGTCTTCGCTCACTCGGACTCTGGGATCGTGGGTTCGAACCCAAACTGAGGCATGGATGTTTGGTGTGTGTGTTTATTCCGTGTTTAGGTGGAGGCCTTGCGACGAGCTGATCCCCTTTCCAAGGAGTCCTACAGTCTGTGAAAAAATGATTACGGAACTGAATAAGGGGACAGGGCCCTGAATGCGCTGGAAGAGGTAATGAAGGAAAAAAAAGTGTCCACTAAAGTACGTACCACAGCACCGACTTAGTGCCAAGTCGTTATGGGTAACTTCAGTACCAGTTAAAGGATCTGCGTTGCGGTGTCAACATTTATTAAGCCGGTAACAGAATTCCTTGATTTTCAAAACCCGAAGATTTTATACTATTCATAGCCCCATCATGTAACTTCATGAACCGATCTCTGTAAGACCTATTTAAATAATTTCCTTCCATCGATGTTTATGTCTTCCATATTATCTTCTGCTTTGAAGTTTGCCGAAATAAAATATTAGATCTATATGTTCCTTATTTTCCCTCACGCCTATCTTCATTTTATAGCTTGAATTATACAGGGTTAGTCATAAGTCCGTGAAACATTTTAAAAATTTGTAATAAATAAACTACGCAACGGATACCAAATTTTATTACACTGAAATGGAGATAA